GCTCGAAAACCAGCGCGATCCTCCTATTGTACTGAAATCAATGAGCACCGAAGGGATCAGGCGTGGATTTCTGTGTGAATTCCTCATGCCTGAAGGTTAAGTGAGGAAAAGGAAGGCGTTCGGAGAAAGCTGAAGATGTGAGCAAAGAGAGTTTTGGAGAGAGGCGAGTTTCCTGACAACGAATCCACCGCGGAGCCCTCTCAGTGAGAAAAGTGCAAGGCGAGAGACTGCTCTTCAAAGAGAATATGCATGGCGTGGTGAGCGCTGCTCTGGTAACAATAAGCTTGTAAAATCTTTATCTCCACAGGCCCCTTGCACGGCTCACCTTGACCTGATGGCTGGAGTTCTGTCTTTGCTCTTGTACCTGCAGTACCGAGCACCCCCCATCCTTCTCCTCGCTCCAGCAATCTATAACCCGCTCTCGCTTTTTTCCTCTTTCACTCCTTCCCCTCTGCTCCCAAACCTTCCATCTCCTCTCTTTTCATTCACTCTTATGACTCCTGCCTATTCCCCCGCCCTTCTCCAGCTTCCTATATTGTTCGTATATAGATTCCTAAACTTTTTCACCCTCCATCTTTCTTCCTTGCCTTCTGGCTTACTCAAAGAGAAACAGTCTCATCCATTTTTCACTTTTGCTCTCGAGCTCGCTCCCAGATTCTCCTCATCTCTGCTCTCCATCTCACTTCCTCTGTATTCGGTCTAGACTGTGACGCCAGTGAAATGCATGAAAGATCAAAGTGCTGTGTGCCAGCTAAAAGCGGAAAACAATCGATGCAGCACATGATGAAAGTTTTAAATGGACAGACAGCGGCCTGTTGGAAAATGTTAATGTGAGTCTGATGTGTGTAAAGAGTAAAGGCTGGGACTGTTGTAGGCGTGCCCGACCCTGTGCAGCTGTTTTCTTAGCAGTAACAGGAGCAGCTTCCATGCAAGCGATCGCACAAACACACAGAAACACCGAGTGTGACCTACAGCATCCACATCCTTCAGCCAACCACAGACGTGCGCCGCCGCAGTGCATTGTGGGGAGCTAATTAGCATGAAGGACTGTGGTCTCTGAGCAACCATGACCTGCAAGCTGAGCTCAAACTTCTTCCTCACGCGTTCTCCACCTCTGCGCCTGAGGCGCTTTAGAGAAGGTGTAGTCACTGGTGCGTTGAAATGCAGCCCAAATGATCAGCAGCTCGGGGGAGTTGGGAGAGACGAGGGGAGGAAAATGTGGGCATTTCCTCAGCCCACAGTGTGTGTCTGCGCGCGCGCACTGCACGGGAACGCCGGCGAGCTGCGATGTCAGATTGACTGCTATCATCCGTGTCTATCATCGTTCTGCTCCTCACTCCTTTCCCTTTGTTCCCTCTGTGTGTGCTCCTCCCGGGCTTGTCTCCGCTCAGTGTGGTCTGCAGCAGCGCCCTGTGGTGGTTTGCTCCCGACTAATCAAACTAGTCAGTGTCACCGGAAAGCTTCATCTAAAACACATGGCCGCGTCAGCTCCCTTCACTCTGCAGACTCTCAATGTTTAGCAGGTCTACAGACGGCGAGGCCCGAACGACCAGACGAGAGGAAAACAACATCTAGAAGATGATATCACTAACAAAGCGTGCGTGTTTGTATTTTTCCCATTACTGCACGACGACGGATGAGAACGGGTTGTTTACACGTGTCAGCTCGTGTGTCCTCGTGTCACTCCTGCCGTCGAGTGCGAGGTGACAGTGTGTGCACGCGTTCACAGTTTACCTCATAGAGCAGGCATCCTAGCGACCAGATGTCAGATTTGAAGTTGTAGCCGTTTTCATGTATCCTCTCCGGTGACATGTAGTAAGGAGTCCCCACTGGAACACGGTGGGAGGAGGGAGGGGGGAGAGAAGTGGACGAAACAGGAAACAGGACAAAAACAAAATGAGCGTTAACATTTTGCAAACTTGTTTCTCCTCCACATCAACAACGACGCCCACACGGCTCATGATGCAGCTTCAACGTGTTTTTGTAACAAAGTGTCGTCTGTGTCGTTTTTAAACAAGCTTGGCTGTGAGGTCACATATCAGCACACATACCAGGACCGTGCATGCAAGCTCAAGCAACACACAGCTGTGTACACACACACACAACATTTATCAATCACTTTTGATTACTGGGGCTCCGTAATGATCTGAAGCAGCAGTCAGAGGATACGCCCGGGGAGCGGTCGGCCCGTCTCTGGTTTTGAAACTCAAGAATCCCAAACTGCCGCAGCAAATGGCAGCGCTCCAGAAAATCAGACCGTCGCCCAACTGGACACAACCAGGAGCCGCAGCTCGGCATACAGTCGTGACTCTGCAGGATGAGTTTGATGCAAGCTTTGATTTTTTTCATCTGCTTTCTGTTTATTGTGATTTCCCATGGAAACGTCTACCAAGCACCAAAAAGCTTCACCAGCACCTTTATTGTCTTAGGAAACTTGCTCATTTCCACATTGACCAAAAAATT